AACGGCTATTTCTTTTGGAACATGGTTGCCATTTGGATGGACCACCTTACTGACTTCCGGGGTCACCTTGCGGAAGAATTTGTGACCGCGCGAATCGGTGCTGACGTAGGCATATCCTGGAGGAGACGGGTAATTGGCTGGACAGATCTCTTTTTTCTTTGGGGTATAGTCCCTATGATATATGGTTTCATCCTCAAAACGTGCCGAACTGGACAAAGCTACTGTTGGAGGTTTGCAACTCTGGGTTGGGATTAGACTGTGTGGCGTATAGTGAGATCGGAAGGTGGTGAGATCTTCAAATTTACCTGTGGGCTTTGGTATTTCCTGGGGCTTTTTAATCATTTCTGGCGGGTGGAGTTCCCAAGCTTGAAAGGAATCTCTCATCGTTGTGTTTCCTTGGAAGGGAAAGCCGCTTATTTTGCTCCTTTCCAGCGGTTTCATGAGGACCACTGGACTGACGATGTGAGGAGGATAATCCAGGCGGGATGTGGAATTCAGCTCCATGCTGCCTGTAGGGGGAGCGTACTCCTTCGCTTTACGAAGCTCGGGTAAGGAAACTGCCCACGGCTGAAAGCGATCGCGGAATTCTGTGATGCCCTCAAAATCGGATTTGGTTTCCATTTTGGCAACCTCGGGCCTGAAGCTTTTGGGAAGATCGCCAGGAAGCCCTCTGAAGTCGCTCTGGTGGGTGGTGATATTTTCAAAAGGCTGACTACTGGGCCGGTATGCTTCTTTTGACTTGCTCCACTTGGGTTCCAGCTGATGAGGGACATAATCGCGCCGATGACTTGTGTCACCGACAAAAGGCTGGTCCGAAAGCGTGGTGGCGTCAGCAGGTTTAATGATCTTCCGGAGGGCCAGTTCTCGTGGAATAAAAGCATCCTGAGAGGTAGTGGCGTTTCCAAACTTTTCGGTGGGAGGCTGATAGCGGCGCTCCACTTTACAGGGTGCCCTTTTTTCTATTTCCCAGGGTTTAAAATCAGCTTTAAGATAAAAAGAACGGAATTGTTACATTCGTGACAAGAGGTTGCTATAGTCTTCCCACGCGCCTCATCTAAGAGTAGGCCAGGGACGAGCTTACAAAAGGTGAATGGAGAATGTGTCAAAATCATTGGTTTTGCCAGAACTTACAGAGACATATTTGATTACTTCCGCCCTATTTGACTACTAGGAGAACATATGAATAAGGCATCTACAATATGTCACTTGACCTTAAAGGACTTTGTATAAGAAATTCTGAGAATTACAATATTGTGCAAATGCTGAGTGGGGGTTGTCCTGACATGTCTAGATCCCGTAAAATATGCTTAACTAGGTCCTAGCATTTATTAAGAGGACATGTTTATCAGATCGGCTTAAATCATTTTAAGTCCTTACTGGATACTTCCTTTATGAAGCTCAGGTAAGGAAACCGCCCACGGCTGGAAGCAAGAATTCTGTGATTCCATACAAAATTTGTTTCTATTTTAGTAGTTTCACTCTTGAAGCTTTTTGGAAGATCATCAGGAAGCCCCCTAAAATCACACTGGTGGCTGATGAACATGCTTCCCAAAGCGTGTTCCATCAAACACACTTTGGGAAGCATGTTTGATGGAACATGCTTCAGTTTATCAGCAGTATAGTTCTCTGGTGGTTACATGAAAACAACTAAACTAGGTTTTGGTCTCAGAGCCCAAATTAGACCTTAAATTTCCATGTGCTCTCAATAAGAAGCAACCTAGAACTAAGGAGAAACTTCCTGACAGTGAGAACAATTAACCAGTGGAACCACCTGCCTCCAGAAGCGGTGAATGCTCCAACACTGGAAGTTTTCAAGAAGAGACTGGACAACCATTTGTCTGAAATGGTGTAGGGTTTCCTGCCTGAGCAGGGGGTTGGACTCGATGACCTCCAAGGTCCCTTCCAACTTTATTATTATTATTATTATTAAGAGTGTCCACTGCTGATTAAACATCGTTCAGTTATAGGGAAATTATCAGCATGGCATTGCAACAACCAAGTCAGCGTCTGCCTCTCCAAAGCAGCAATTTGACACCTCATCCATCATCCTTGGCAAAAAAAAAAATCCCATTGGTAAAAGTAATTGGCACTATTACCTTGGTAGGTTGGAATGGCATTCAGTTTGCATTTAGAAAGGTATTTCTTTTCTGCAGGTCTTACTAATATTACTGGCTCTATTTTGTGAGGGTTGAAATCCCTTCTGTATGTGGTGGCCAGGTCAATTTCTCCAGCAATGGGCCTGTATTCCTCTTGTACACGAAGGGGTCGATATGTTATATCGTAGGGAAGGTAGTCAGATCTGGTAGGAGAAAAGGAAAGGGGGAAAAAACTCTGAGAAAGAAACCATTTAGCATTTAGTCAATAAATCAGTCTGACTAGTTGATATGTTGGAGTGATTGTAATCGGGGCTCTAATTAAAATCTTCCCAGACTGGGGAAAGAAAACTGGTTGATTATGTCTTAAGATAAATAACTACAAAACATAAGGTTGGTAAGCCTGATTCTAAAAGGAACATTCCCCTTCCTTCCTTCCTTCCTTCCTTCCTTCCTTCCTTCCTTCCTTCCTTCCTTCCTTCTTTCCTTTCCTTTCCTTTCCTTCCTTCTTTCCTTTCTTTTCCTTTCCTCTTCCTTCCTTTCTCCTTCTTTCCCTTTCCTTTCTCCTTCCTTCGTTCCTTTCCTTTCCTTTCTCCTTCCTTCTTTCTTTCCTTTCCTTTCCTTTCCTTTCTCCTTCCTTCCTCCTTTCCTTTCCTTTCCTTTCCTTTCCCTTCCTTCCTTCCTTCCTTCCTTCCTTCCTTCCTTCCTTCCTTCCTTCCTTCCTTCCTTCCTTCCTTCCTTCCTTCCTTCCTTCCTCCTCACAACAAATCCCTGCGGTTATCTTGGCAAGATTTCATAACAATTTTATTAAAGTTTAACAATACAAAGATAAAAAACTAAAACAAGCTAAGAGAAATATAAAAAGTGCAGAAAAAAAGAACGCCCCCCATAAAGAAGTGACCTCCCCACTTCATCAAGACAAGTACATTTTCAGTAACTTATCACCTTCTCTGACATTTTGACAAAAACTTTTCTTCCCATATCTCATCTCTTATCTATAAACAAATTATAAAGCCTCATCATTCAACGTTAATCAGCAAAAGTCCATTAAGAGTTATCAGAAATAGCAACATATATATTTTAACCTTCATCAAGCTTTAGGGGAGAAGAAAGATTAATTCTCTTCTTTTTTTTTTAAAGAAAATTGTGATGGTGAAAAGGACAAAAGGGATCTACGAAAAGTTCCAGATAAAACGGTTGCAGATAAAAGTTCCAGATAAAACATGGGCTGAAATAGGCTTGTCTTTTCTCCCAAACTGTGTGTGAGTCTAATAATAATAATAATAATAATAATAATAATAATAATAATAATAATAATAATAATAATAATAATAATAATAATAATAATAATAATAATAATA